ATTTACATTAAAAAAATTAGTCTGCCAGTCTGATCATGTTATCTGAAAAAATGCGGATGATTTGAAGAAAATTAGGATTAGATTAGAAAATTAGAATCAAAGATGTAAACAACAAAATTGCTAAGGCGGGTCACCAAGAAAAATCTTTTTGGTGAGTTTATTTAGTTTTTTTTTTTCAACTATAACTCGGGAACAGTGCATCGAAGTGAGAAATGTACTCTTGAGAAAATAAAGAACGTTATATTGTGCGTCCAGTACCTAAACTTAAACATTTGGTATGGCAGAAAACCACAGCCAACGAACGCTGATTTTTATTAAAATTATAAAAAAAACTGAGACAAATTACTATAAATAGCCCTGCAACTTAAAAATGAGTTTCTTAAGAGAGAAAACCCATAGAACATAAGTTGTTGAGTGTCATATTCCGGTTCCACTGAATACCAACAGTTTTAATGTAGGCCACTTACTCCGCTCAAAATAGGTAATCTCACAATGGCTGAAAATTGGTATTGAAGGTTTCAGTAATTTAGAATATTTCAACAGTACGTGTGTCTATTCTGTTGAGTTATTCTTGTTTGGTATACTATATACAGTACATGATTCTTTTCCACTTCTCAGTTGCGAAGGATTTTGAAGCAAAAGTTGTCAAAAGAAACAGAATTTTCATCAGATGTCAATTTGTTAAAAATAATTTAAGGTTTCTCCCTACGAATAATATGTACCGTAAATTGGTATATATTATATCTTGAAATTGTATCTGTATGCTGTTTTAGTTTAATTTTATTATCTGTCAATCCGAACTATTCTCGATAATCCAAACATACATGGAGAAGGTTAACTACCATTCTCAGCAATGTTAAAAAATAATTTTAGAATGCTTTTCAAATTATATAACGTCCTTTAGAATACTTATTATAATATCATAAAATAAAACCAATAATTAATATAAAATAAATAATTATCTGATATTAGTTATGCATTTTTAACTGGACAACACAAATCTCGGAATATGGCCCAAAATTCGCATAGCCTAGGTGCCTCTACATGGCGTAATCCTGACCTTGAAAATTGATATTAATGAAGTTTATAAAAAAAAAATTATGTTAATAACATTTCTAATGAACTGGTGTAAATTAGATAAAATTTGACAAAAAAAAAAACAGATCTTTGAAATAATTTAAGTAAAACGTTATCATCAAATAAATCTTTGGTGTCCGCGTACACCTTTGTAAGGGATTCTTTATCAGTCAAAGGAATATAAATTCATATAAAGGTCTTTGAATCAATAAATGGGTCACATTTGTATAAATCTGTATTAATAAATAAACTCATTAAAATTAGTAGTGATTAATAACATACGTCAGTCACGAGACTACAGTCAATTTGTGTTCTGTAACAAAATATTATATTTTTAATAATTTCCAGAAAAATATCATGATCCTTCTAATACAAAATCAATAAAAGGATATTTTATTAGTAGTTATTAACACAGAAAAACCAATGTAAACTTTTTTTTTTATTTGAATTCAAGTGGAATTCAATATTAATAAAAAAAATACTAAAAAAGATAGATTACGTGATCTAGAGTAAGCTGTTAGTAACGCCAGTTTTCTTACTCTTAGCACATAAATAAAAATACTTATTTCAAAACATTAACCCGAAAAGAAAAAAAAAAATGTAAAATAATCTTTAGAAAGTAATCGAATATTTATGATGTGAAATGGATGTAATATTAACAAAACTTAGCAACAATGATACAGTATAATATAATACGTGTACTTATTCAGAAAGAAAAAAAAATGTAGCAATAAAGATAAAGAATTTCACACGCGAATTAAACGAATTACTGATGTTGATTTTATACTTACCAGAAATGTTTACTTTAAATAGTTTAGAAATACTGACAAAGGAACACAACTGTCATAGCTATGAATAGTTTACTCAGGCAAATGTTTTCATAATGCTGATTTGGGACTATTTATATAAACACTTTGTAACAAAATATAAACGAACTTATTTAACAAAAAAAAAAAAAACATGACGTATCCTAGTTAAAAAATTTAGTTTGCCTTTGAAATTAAAAAAAATTAATATAATTATTAATATATTGCGAGTGAGAGAGAAAGAAGGAGAAACCGACCCACTTGCAAAATAATTGGGACTGTGTCAAAGTAAATGAGAATAGTCGCTCATAAGATCATCTGGCATAATCACTTTCAAAGGAAAAAAATAAGTTACACTTTAAGACTTCAGAGACTTTAATGCCACTAATGTATAATTAAACATGAATACAGTGAAGTCTAGAAACTGCATGTCCATCTAAAGTACAAAAATAAGCCGTATAAAGAACCACTCATGTTTTATTCTTAAGCGGACAACGTTATAGCAGCTACCTATTAAGCCCGTACTCAACCACTTGTTGCTTCGATCAGCTGGGCACAAACAGGGATGTTGTAGTTACCATGATTTTAGACACAACTGAAGTTGTTATATTATTTTTACACTTATCTTATGACACTGATGATATTTTTCATTGATCCTTTAACTTAAAGTAATAAACTGGTCACAAAAGGTATTAGAGTGAAAACAATTTGTAAGAAATTGAAGCTTTCGGCTTAGTAAAAACCTCATTATTATTGATGAAAGTAAAAAAACTAATAGATTCTTTATCATAGGTGAAGTATCTACAAGACGCCATCTTTACATTACAATCCAATCCAATGCCCGTTACCTGCCGAAGGTGTTCCCTCCCCAATTTTGAACTATTATTTTAAAAAACAGAAAGAGTACACAATCTAATGAAAAATTAAAGCATAACTACTACTATTAATAATAGCTTTAATAATAGAAATCATAACAAATTACCTTGATAAATGTATCCCGTCAAACAGGTAGCAGGACAGATCTCAGGTAATAACACAAGTAGGCACTTTCCACAAAACACAATAACAACTCCATATTCTTGTTCAAATAAACTTCACCCGGTAAGATAATTCATAACATTCGACTTGAAGAAACCAATTATTCTTTACAAATAAAAAAATAAGCAAAGATAAACTACAATTACGAACAACTATCAACTAAGAGCACTTCAAGTTATCCACTGATTGGTTTCTAGTTCCCTCGACTGTTACAGCGCAGGCGCTCATTTCTGAGGAATTACACCAACTCTAGCGCATTCTATTGGAAAAAATGCACATTAGTTATCGTTGTCTAGTAACACTCATGGCTAAACCATTTGCACTATTCAAAAGGTTGAATTCAAAATCAACTTAACAAATAATTTAGGAAAAATGTAAATTCAATAGATAATCATTTAAACAGTAATCTATTGATTTTTTATTTTAAAACTAATCACAAATAATAATTAATCTTTTTATGTTATTATGAATGAAAATCATTGTAGCAGAAAAATAAATGCCTTTATTCTCCAATTTAATGATAAAACTACACATACCCACACAAACGTTAATTCATTTATTTATATACAGATATAATATTTCATATCTCTACTGTTTGTGCGAAAGGTAATATGTAACAATTTTCAATGATTATTCTATTTTTTCTAAAGGTGACATTTTGTAGTATGCAACTGCAAGAAGTAATCTGCAACTATGGAAAATAGCAGATTGAATGAAATGTGAAATTTTAATAATTAATCATAAGGAAATAATCAGTTTGTATGTTCTTCTATAAAAATAATCAATTTTTACATACGACCTTTTACACCAACAGTAGCGATGTACAATTCTAATCAACAGTAACTTTACTTTAATTTATAAATTCTTTATTTTTGGATTTAATTTCTGATATCATGCATTAATACAATATAATAAATTTTAAACTCAGAATATTAGAAAAATATTCAAATACAAAGGAAGAACAACAAAAAAACTGCATAATACAGACAATATGAAACAAAAAATAATAAAATCTATATGAAATAAGTCAAATAATATATGATCAAACAATGATTTAATGAAATGTAACAATTTTAAAAATGGTATCAAATATTAAAATAAAAACATTACTAAAACATATACTGCGATAGCATGAATTTACCAAGTTTTAATTATCTGATGTATTAAAAAACAAATTATAATCATAAAAAAATCAGCCTAATGACTCACAAAGACTTGTACATTAAACACTTCATTAAAATAGCAAGTTTTTAAATATAATAAAAAAATCCAAGAAAAAGTCTTCTTCGACAGAGATCTATTCAAATCACAATAATTAAAAACAGAAAAACATATCTAATTTGTACCATGAAATAGAAAACATGGATTAAAATGATTGTATGCGATATGAGATGAAATATTAATGTTAATAATCCTAAAAAGTTTTTATTTCTATTAACAATCAGTTCTCAAATTTATAGTTAAAATTATGCTAAACTTTATAGAAATTTCAATAAGATAATGATTAGAATCTGTTAAATAAAAGAGTAGTTATTAATGATGTCAAAGAAGTACTTAAAGTAACAGAAAATGAAATAATAATGGCTAAAGAATACTATTTAATAAGTTTATTTTCTATTTTTGCAATTATTAACTTAATTTTTTTTTTCACTCATGGCTCTAGAAATACGAGGTATCAATAGGAATGATGGGATCAGTTGTTAACAAAAAAAAAAAAAAAAGAATTCTTCCCTATACCAAAGATTTGATTCATTTCCCTCCAGTTGATAAAAAAAGGTGCCATATTTTAAATGAAGATATATTTTATTTTATGTTTAAATGAGCTTTTCATCAGGGATTCAGTGTTCCATTCTTTCTTCTTCTTTTTTTTTTTCTCTAACAGTATGTATAGTTTTATATTAATGAACCTTCAAATTAGTATTTCTCTCATATCATCAAAAGTGATGGAAATAAATTTTGTAAGACATTGGCAGATCTAGCCCTTTAGGAGCCCTCGACAATACAATATTGCGCATCCCCTAAAATAACAGCATTTTACCCAACTTAAACAATTTGACTTTACTCTCAAAACTCATACATTCAGTTTCCAGGACAGTCACCACTCATCCCTCGATCAACACCTTAATCTGAGAAAAATAGATATTAAGTAGCGACCAAAATATCAACAAATCTTTAAGCAAGAAGTTATAGAGGCTAGTACTCATTTACCTTGAACTATTCTCTTCAAATGTTTAAAACGACAAATTATATATCTTTTTATCTTTCATGAATTTCTTGTTAATAAATACTCAACTGATTAATCTCCTCATTAGTTATTCCTTGCTAATTAATATTAGAACTAATTATTGGTTGAATTTTGAGTGTTTTCCTTTATAAGTATTCTTTTTCCATCATATTTATGTTTTCAGTTCTATCATGATCAGGCTTTTTTATTCAAGCGATATCTATGTAGGGATTCTTGCTCAATATCATTAGTATCCTATCAGTGAATCATTAAAAAGAATTATGTCTTCACTTTACTTTTTTTGAAAGATTTGAAATTTGTATGAAATGAAAAAATGACCCATATATACATTGTGAAATAGAGATCTTTAGATCTGAACAAATACTGTCACAGGCATGAGCAAGTAACAAAGCCTAAAGAGGAAGATCATATAATCCACACTGGACCAAAAAGGCTGTGAACATCTTACCTGTATTTTATTTTATTAATTTTGTCATTATCATAGAACCTTTTTTTTTTCAGTAAACTATTTTATTTGAAAACAAGCATTCAGTTTTGAATTCATAATAAATATTTCGAAACTTTTTTGGTCATTAATTTTTCATGAAATTATTTTGTTTCCTTCATTTATTCACATTCCAAAAAAACACATCTATGACATAACTGTAAATTTACATACTATAATTTATTTTTTTACAATATAATGTAGATTTATTGGTCGTATTTTGCTTTTTTTGACTCCAAAATATGGAATTTCATGGATCCTACCAAATTTGAAGTAATTTCAAAAGTTTTTTTTTTTTTATTCATCCACCACCTTTTTTAATTCTTATCAATTCCTTAACCATTGATACACGAATACTGATTTCGTCTCATAGATTTTAGGCACAGTGTACATACTGGAACATTTGAGGTAAAGCAACTGAACATAGCTAAATTACATCATAGCTTTCAAGTAAAGGGAATTATAACTGGGGACAGCTTAGCTTAAAATTCTAATTAAAATATGTTTATTTATAACCAAACAACATGGTGGAATAAGTAGATTAATAGCCTTATTTAACTCTTAAACACTAAGAAATTTGTTTAACAGACAAAAATACAAGTGAATTAGCTGATTCCAAACAAAACAATTGTAAAATCTAATATGAAGGGTCTTCAGAAATATTAAAGATCCATCAACAGTCTGAAGTATTTCAAAAGTTGGAATTACAAATAGTGCTATTTGTAATAAACTAAATGCCTAATTAACTAAAGGAGATATATTTTCCTAAATAAAAAAAAAAAAAAAATGGGAATAAGACTAGTAATGTAGATGTATAGTATACAATACATAAATATCATTAGTGTTTTTATTTTGAAAAATTAAATATATGAAGTTGTGGAAGATACTGGTGATAGTCTGATTTTATCAAGTGTTGGGCACTGATAAATAACAAATTTTCTTGTTTCAATAAGAACTTTCATTTATTTAAAAATATTTGAATTTTTTAACAATAAATTATTATGGAATTTACTAAGTTTAATAAATATGGGATAAACGTATTTCTATAAATTCAATGGTATATTTATGCATGTCATTTATTGTAAATAAATCCATTGCGAAATTAAGCTTTTCCAGATCATATACATTATAGTTATAACAAAACATAATAACAGTAGTCATAATTGTATAAGAATATAATTAAAGTTCTTTTTTTATTATAATCTTTTTAATTTATTTTTTCTATGTACTATTTACAAAAATAAAACAAAACAATAAATAAGAAAAAAAATAAAAAGTTTATTTCATAAATGAAAAGAACAAAAATAATATTTATACCAAAAATCAAATTAAATTAAGTAACATATTTTATAAATGATGCTTAAGATACATGTTTTCAATTATAACAGCAGATAACTATAAAAGACTTATTAGTTAACAATTTATTTTATGTGGTGATTGAAATCCTCAAAGATAACAGATTTAAGTTGACACCATCTAACTTAAACCATGAGGTAGCATATGCCAAGGTACAAAGGTATCATTAGATTTTAAGTTCTTTGCCAGTTTCTAATTAGGCATTATATGAATGGGTCTAAATTCTCTAGCATTAATATATAAATATCAGCTGTACTCAACTTTCCATTTCATTGAGCCCTTCATCAGAAAAGAGTAACAACTGTAGATAAAAACACAGGCATATACTTTTCTTTATGTAACATCAGTAACACATTCAAGAATCATTTTGTTGTAATTGAGCTAGTTGATATTAACATTACTAAGGAAGTCGTAAAATGATTCCTCTGTTAGAAACTAAAATTATTTTAATAAATCAACAAAAGATTATGAAATACAAAAAATTCAGACCTCATAAAAAACAATTAAAGTTAACAAAATAAATAAATCTATTCCAACAGATTATATAACATCAGAAAATAAGTAACTGTCATAAGAGGAAACAATTATTTGTCTTAATTTAATTTCTATATATACATTGGTGCATAAAAATATGCCATTTTGCAAGTGACATTTCCTTTATTCTGACTTAAAAACACTTTAGGTCATGAATTCTTCTGTATTATTTATTATGTATGTATTATTTTTTCTTTTTAGAAATATTACTCTGTCTTTTGTTATCACTTTCCAACGTACTCAGAATTCCTGGTACCATTTCAAGTAAATCCTTCTCATTGAGAGTAAAATCCTTATCAATCCAAATATTTTTCAGTTCCTTAAGGACAATACCTAAAATTTTACCAGCTGGAACTCCTTTCTCCTTTAAAATTCCACCATTAATAGGAAATGATGGCGGTTCCCAGGCTTGAAAATCATGAAGAAGTTGTAGATCACATTTATACTTAAATAATTCTAATATAAAACTTCTGGTATCACTTAGATTGCGATCGGATTTAAGCATAAGAGCCTGAAATGGTTTCAAAGGTCTGTCAGATAACTTTTGATCTCTATAATAAATCAAAAAAAGACCCAAATCTCTATCATAACTAGAAAGTTTACACCTTTTGTGAAATGATAACATCTCATCTTCATTGGTCATTAAAGAAGCAATCAAACATATAGGATGCATGTTTAAATTCTTACTTCGTTCCCAAACGGATATCAATTCGCCAACACTAGGCGTTGGTGGAAAACCTATATATGGCCCGGCACCAACTGAAATGATTGACTGGATAATTGAACTGACATAATTACCAGATAGAATCTTGGATAACTCAAGCCATATCCTTTCACCGGTAATCTTTCCTAATCCAGAAATATTATTTTTAATGGCATCAATGGTCTCTTCTTCATGAGAATCAGGATCTTCAGCAATTCTACCGAAAAATCTAAAATATCGCAGAATTCTCAAATAATCTTCTTGGATTCTTTTACTTGGATCACCAACAAAAGCTACTCTTCTCTTTTTCAAATCTTCATACCCTCCAAAATAATCATAGACTTGACCATCAGTACCTAAGAACATAGAATTGATGGTAAGATCCCTTCGATTCGCATCCAATTCCCAATCGGTTGTAAATTCAACTTCAGCATGTCTTCCATCAGTTACCTTGTCGATACGAAGAGTTGTAACTTCAAAATTTTCATTGTTAATTCTCGCAGTAATGGTGCCATGTTTTTCTCCTTTATTATTTATCATTCGTACCCCTTCCTCTTCAAACATTTTTTTCATCTCATCAGGAGTAGCTGTGGTGGCAAAGTCAACATCTTTTGGTGTTTTCCCAAGAAGAATGTCTCTGACAGCTCCTCCAGCAATTCTGATTTCATAATTGTTATTTTCAAAAATTTTTAAAAGTGTCTGTAAATTACTGGTAAAAATACTTTGAAACTCCGGTGTATCAATTTGCATTATGACTGGGAATTTATGAACACTAGAGAAAAACTTTCTTCCATTAAAACCTGAAATGTTTACAACTGAAGTTCTAAAGAACACTAATGGAAATTGGTTGAATTTTAAAAGATATTTTACAGTGTATGAAAACATCACAAAAAATTAAAGACTTTGAATATCAATTTCGACACCATTTTAAAAATATGTTTTTTTTTTTATATCATCTCAACATAAGTGTTTTAAATTAAAATGTTCCTAAAACTCGGACTCATTTGGTTTCTTCAAATTCAATTGCAATGGGCCGTTCAATAATGAGGCCATCACTTGAATCTTTAGCTTAAATTCATAGAGAATTCAGTCACAATATACTTCTTCCATTTTTCTTATAAATAGTTCACTTAAAAATGATGTGTAAGACAAGCACATTAAAATTATAATTAAGATCGCGTTTGATAGATGAATTTCTCCATGAGAAGTACAACAAATCAAGATAATTGGACGTCCGGAATAGTATGATTCAATTCCCCCCTTTTTTTTTTTTTAAATTCCAATTAATAATTATTAACTTAATTTGGTTTACCATTCCAATATTATTGATTAAGAATTCATATAGTTAAATAATCGAGGAAAAAGATGTTTTTAATTTTTTATAAATTTGATTGATGAATAGGTTAAACATGAAATAGTTATGTTATGTTACCCACAGGAGATACCGAGGATTGGGATTAATCCGCTGCCAATGAGAGGCTCCTCTTCAACATTGGTCCATTGCTCAGCGACTGTCCAATGTACCAGATGCCCTTTTTCAATCTACCTTCGATTATTCGGCTGAAATTACTGAATGTGCCGAGAGATTGGGGGTTGATCAGGGTCATCGAAATGTGAAAGCTCTACGGCAGTCGCTACGAGAAAATGCATTTGAGGAATGGGCCAACTGCAGGTGGCAGGGTATTGGTGTTCGCCATTTTAAAGAGACCCCGAAAGCGAATAGATACATCTACGAAAAGCAAGTACTTTCTGGGTCTGAATGGTCAAATGCCCTAAAACTAAACATTAATTATGCACCCCTGCGTGGAGTCCCAGGAGTCAGCGGACAGGTCGGAGAAGTTGGGTCCCTCTGCCGTAAATGCGGTAGAGAGTCTGAAACACCAGCCCATGTGCTGGGAAATTGCCCCAACAACTCCCTCCTCATAACACGTCGTCACCACCGGGTCAAGTTTGAGTTGATGAGGCTCCTTAGGGAAAGGAAATTCACCTGCTTTGACGAGGTATATTGCATCGATAGTGAAGGCTCTACGAGATACGCGGATATCGTCGCATTTCCCAAGACAGGAAGGACAGCCCTGATCTTGGATCCAACTGTCCGCTTTGAGAGCAATGACCTCGATCAGGCGGGTGAAGTGGAAAGGGAAAAGAAGAACACGTACGATAAATGTATCCGTTTCCTAAAAGATAAATTCCGTTAGACATTCGGAGAGAGAGAGTTCACCGTGAGAGGCCTCTGGTTTGGGTCTCGCGGAACTATCCCAAAAAGAACAAGGAGCTTCCTCGAGGAACTAGGTGTCGACATTAAGGACGTAGCGAGGTTGGCTGAAAATATAGTCCTCGACTCCCTAGGAATCATTCACCACCACGTGCATGGCTAGCCCGAGAGTTTTAATTTATGTATTTATTTATTTATTTAATGAATAATTGAAAACAATAGAGATAAAGAGAGAGAAGTGAGAGAAAGGGAAACTAAATGTTAAAAAAAAAAAAAAGCATGTACAATGAAAGGAGGGAAAAAGGAAAAAGAAAAAAAAAAGAAAAAAAAAGGGAAAAAAAATAAAATAATAAATATATATATATATATATATATATATATATATATATATATATATATATATATATATATATATATATATATATATATATATTTTACTAATATTAATTAATACTTCTGTATATTTATATATAAGTTCATATATTGTCCTAAGGATAGAAGAGTATGCTGTGTACATAGCAACCCAATATAATTGGGCAGCAATCCTTTATATTTTATATTTTATGAAAATAAAGTGTTTCTCTCTCTAGTGATAATCTACAAAGTAGGATATTGGTTCAATAGGTTCTTTAGACCAACACTGTGGTCTAATTAATTATAGCACTAAATCGAACTAAGTAATAGTCTATCTTGAAGAAGGCCATACTTCCAAAAATCGGGAATTAGAATAAAAAATTAAACCCTACAATACACAACCTCAAGGATTAATGTATCCCGCCTTAACAAAAAACTATGGAAATGTATCCCGCCTTAACAAAAAACTATGGAAATTATATCCACCAACACATGTGTTCTTCAATATATAAATATAAATATATTCATTAAAAGCCGAATTAGAAAATCTATTGGTTCAATTACAATATTTAATATGGCGTAATCATTTTGTTTACTTCAATGATATAGAGTAAAATTAATCTTCTATAATGCGAAGAACCTAGCCGTTTCTCTATAATCCTATTAATAAAAACAATGTAAAAATTATATCAACAAAATAAATATGTAAATAACAGCTCTAATAAATGTAATTTGAATGAAAGTATAATATCAGTTGAGTGCTCAATGGTTAACTGTAATATAATGGAAGAGATGGTATGTAAAAGGAAAGAGATGGTCTGTTGTGGCGATTATAAAAAACTTTAAATAGTGAAACACTATCAGAATATCAGTTGTTATTCTTTCCAACAACATATAACGGCATTCCAAATAGAACATAACCAAAAGTAAACACTTATAATTTTAGGGGCAGCTAAAATAAAATTTAGTAAATATAAATTAAATTGGTCATAAATTATGGTAATGATTTATTTTCACACTAAGACTAAATATTTCTATAGATTGATTATGCTGCTACTTATTCTTTATTATGAAATATATAAATTTGATTTGTAACTTTAAAAAAATATTAATTAAGTTCCTGATAAGCTTCGAACCTCCTTGGTTTGAAGCCTTCTCGTGATTACAGTTATATTTGAAAACAGTTATTGTTTTGGTTTGAGAGATAGCTAATCACGATCCTCAAGAGTTACATTTAAACCTTTTACAGGAAATGGATGATTTTATAGAAGAGGAAGAAGAGGATTTATATTCTGATCTACCAAATTTTAAATATGATGAAACCGTTGACAAGGTGTGTGAAAAAAGTGTTATATCTATCATGTTAAAATTTGTTGGAATGATCAATAAGAAGAAAATTTAGTGGTTTACAATACCTATTTCCATATTAAATCTTTTATTTTAGAGTAGTTCATTTCATATTTGTCAAGTAAAATAATATGACCATAAGTAAGCTATGATTGTAACAGTTCAAACTGGTTAGGGAATTATGGAATTAAAATTATGAAAAATGTATTAATGTCCATAAACACAAATTGTGAAAGCCATTTTAAAACCATTAAAACCCATTAAATAATTTACATTACATATTTTTCAATGGATACAATTGAATGTATGCACATTTGAATCTCTGTATATCAGACCAGGTGCCTTTATATATATTAATGAAATAGAAATAATACAATTTTTAATCTTTGTCTTACTTTAAACAATTATTTTTATCATTAGAGTATTTCATGTATTAAATTTCAGTATTGTATTATCATTCTTATCACACTTTAAGGATATAAATTGTATAACATTTTATTGATTGTAAAACTTTTTGTAAATTTTCAACACCATTCTAGACATACTTATATATTTTTATACATGTATCATATTTTTCCGCTGTTTATGTATTTCAGTAAGTCAAACTTTTTTCACAGTTATAGTTTTCATTTTGCAACCCTGTTCACAAGGTAGGCCCAATGTTGGAAAGAAATTCTAAGAGAAACTTTTCTTTTCTTCGATAATGACTGCCCATTTTTATGAACGTGAACTAAAAGACATTTTTGATGACAACTACATTTGATATATTTTTAAATATGACTTTTTGTTCGATATTCAGAACTATTATTCTTAAAATATAAATTTAAAAAATATTCATGTTTCTAAAATGATGTTACATTAAGAAGGTTGTTGAAGAAGTTTGTAAGTGGTGCGGTCATCTTATCACTAATGACATAAAGCATTTGATCCTTGAATGTTCATTTGTTGAGATTCATAGAAAGAGATATTTCGATCAATACATCAATGCGGGCATGGATGACTTATCTTTGGAGAGAGTTTTAGATATTAAAAGTCTTGAACACTTGAACAATGTGTTTTACTTTATTGTTCGTATTTTTGGTTCCCATAGTTTACTTAATAACCAGTAACTTTAAAACTAATGATTATTCGTGTTGTAGTATATCATATCAATATAACACATATTTTCTTACCTGTTAAAATGGCAAAAAATACGTCCATTATTGTGACCTAAAGAAGTATATTTAAGTTTATGTATCACTGTTTCTTATAACATTTGTAATTTTTTTTTCTGTTAATTAAGTTTATTTTGTTGGTGAATCTACAGTAAAAGTCTACTGCCAGACTCCATGGCTACGCTGTTTATAAGCCAATAAATAAATAAAAAAGATTGTTGAATAAAGTTTGATATTCAGACTGTATTCGTATAAACATATTCATTATACTATATTATTGAATATTTATATTCATTACTGGAGATCAGTCTAGGTAAAATCATGCTGTAGATCTATTGATATGTAAAAATAACCGAAGTCCATACTTCCCAGTTGTGCTGATCACAGGTTTTTATTAAGATAAAATATCTCCTTGATTTGTATTTTTAACTATTGCATACTTGTCTACATATTTTATGTTATGCTAGTAACAAAACATTAAATTTAATCTATGATAATTGATAAATTTTAACAAAGGATAAATTATTTGTAATAATGCAGGTATAGACAATTATGAAGACATTTTTGTCAAAAACAAAATAAATTAAAACCATATATTTAATGTAGTATCACATCATGAAGAATACTAAATAATTGTTTTTTTTCATTTCATGAGCTGTTTTTTGTTTGGAATCTCTATGTATAAAATTGTTATTATTGTCTAAATTATATAATAACATATTTCTTTATGTTTCATTTATTTTTCTGTCATAGCTCCAGGCAGGTAACAAAGAGCTTCAATCTCGTGTGCTATACTTGGAAGAAGTATTGGATAAACAAACGAAAGAGCTAGATGGAATTCGCTCCCAGTGTGAAACTTTGACCAAAAATATTTCATCTCTATTAAAAACTGCTCAAAATGAAATAAAACGAAAAGATAACAAAATAAATGAGTTAAATAAGACGTGAGTATTCTTAATTTGTTTTCTGAAAGAAATCCTATTAAATTAGTAGTGTGAACAGTAGGAAAGGAATATTTAGTTTCTTTAATTCATTTCATTTGAGGATGAAATGCATCACTGATTTCATTAAATTAATTTTCTTCCTCATCAGTTTTCTTTTCTTACATAAGATACATAAACTGATGACCGCTTAATAAACAATTTGAGATTAAATAATTTTATTCAGCAAAAATACCCCAAAAAAAAAACAACAGAAAAAAAAATAGATTTTCGTAATAGGAAAAATGTATGTATACTTTCTTTATATTTAATAAATTATAATTAAGGTCACATGCATGATGATTACAGGTTTAAATTAGCAAAATCAAACTATTGAAAGGTATTAGTATTACATTTCTCAATATGGTAAACCAGTGTGATTTCCCCGATTCCCCCTCTTGTATAGAAATACAAATCCTTACTATTGAACTGTGATACATAAAATATTTTCTTAGGTATTTATAGAAAAAATTTTAACGATATAAAGAGTTCCAAAACACTCCTTTTATCATCATGGCTGCTGGTGACATATGTTTCGTTGTCATTTTTGTCATCATATTTAAAAATAACAAAAAGAGAAATATGAAAAATACTAATTAAAAATATTATTACAACATTCAGATATAATCAAATTATGATAAAATAATGACAATGGAAATAATTAGACAACAAAAAAGTAATTGAAAAAAAAAATGAATAATGAGAAATAACAAGATAAGAATATCAACACAGAAATTCCTAATACACTGTTGAAGAAAATGTGTGAATTAAATATAGATGAATAATAGTATGAATGTTTATCAGAAACTTTTTTTATTATGTGTGCCGAAGTATTTTAATGACTAGTTCATAACAAAAGAGTGATATATCAAATAATGAAAATTATAATAACAAAATGTTAGTGAATGAAAAAAAAAAAATGTATATGAATTACATACCAAAATGGACAGGATAATATTAAAAATATTTCAAACTTATAATTATCCAAACACTGAAAGTTAGTTCTGTAACTATAAGAAATTACAAAATCACATAAGCAATATGAATGATAAAATAATAAAAGATAAATATTATTTTATAATATAAACAAAACATGACTTAAAAACTATGATAAAATATATAAATGGAGAAACTAGAAAAACGCAAAGTAAGAATGTCATTGCACATTTGAAATTATAAAATAGTAATGAAAAATTGCAAAATATTGAAGATATCCCTAATTTCTATGAGTTGTTAATTTTATGTTGGTAAGTAATAGAGAATAATGCCACAATATTACAGAAAGAGACCTAAATTCAGGTGGTTAGATAGAATCAACAAAGTAGTGGGTTCAGGCAGCCAAAGATCTAGATCAGAGGTCTTCAAAATACTCCTAGGTTTAACTCCAAAGTAGATTTTATGATTTTTTAGTGTTGCTCCAATCCCACCAATAGCTTTGTATTTTATTTTAGGAGAAGTTAATAGGTAAAAGAAAAGTTGTAACAATAAATCATTTTGATTAATTCTTTTGTACTTCTACAATTAGTTTAGTTTATAGGTTTAAATCTTACAAGTTAATTTAACCTCAGCACCATTCCTGTTAATTTTGGATTTCTTCAGTTTGGAGATAAAAGTGATTGACTCACATTTTAGCCAAAATAAGTTTTTTTTGTGCTGTCTATCTGTTCCTGGACACGATCTGCCCTTATTTATTGACGGAATAGTGAAATTATCAGTAATTGTTAGTTAAGTGCTGATAATTTTATACTTGTATTTGGTTCAGGCACAGGTAGATAATAATTGTATCTTTGTAAAATTTCAGTTTAGGTTAAAAACACCAGTAGTTAACAGTGTACATGATACCGGACATCCTCTTAAAATGCGAGTAATAAAATTTCAAGACCTTGATCCCTATTTCGTATATTTTTAGTTTCTATATTTCCTCCTTGTATATTTGCTTGCTTTGCTTTAACCCTGCTGGAAACCATAACCGATATAATGAGTAGCAAATTAGGAAGCTCCCTCGCTGTTCACTTAGCTGTCCTAGGAACAACTATCTATCAATAAGGACCTTATGTTTGCCCTTTTCTCTTTAACTACTATGATTGAATTGGGATGTACCGTCATTTTTATTATGATATGGTACAGATGTTTATTGGGTATTTGGAATGAACAAGTGGACTGTATTGGAATTAACTATAATTATATTTAAACATTGAATATAGATGGGGGTTTGGCGTATAATGTTCTACAATCGTTTACTTGATGTGGCTGAGGTACGGTGGTCGGCCGGCTGCTACACTTCTCACCTCCATGGGTCCAGTAGGTCTCAGTGTTCTACTCCATGCCTCTTCCCATGGTAGAACAGCAAGAAGGTAATCTTGAAGAGGCTAGAGTATTCGTCTACTTCGTGTGGGTTTAGTCGCCCATTTTTTCTCCTACTATTAGTTTTTTGGTGCATACAGCGCCACCGTCGCCACAGTGTTACCTACTTCCCTGGTCCTTTACATGTACCCCATGAAGGGGGGGGGATAACCTCAATTTAGGGTGATCAACCCTAAACAATGATTTATCCCAATTTTTCACCATTAACTGACAGACCTGTACTCTCACAAATTCCAACAGATATACTCAATATAATGGGTCTTAAAAATGGAACCATTCACTATTGTCACGTTAAAAAAATTACTGATGATTTTGATTAAATATAAAGCAAAAATAAGTTTTCCTATGGCCAAAAACTGGTTCTTGACTATGAACAGCATTTATTAATAAATTTAAGACGGAAAGCGCAACAAGTTAGTTTTATAATAAGTTAAAGGTAATTTTTGTTGATCTTAAAATGAATTATATGAAATCTAGATTAATTACATCGTATTTATCATCCTGTCAGATATAGGAACATTTCCAATCAGTGGCAGCTACTGGTATAACAAAACCACTCTCGTAATTTTCATTATTTAAAATTTAGCTGAATGCTTCATGAATTTGAAATATGTCTTGGCAAGGTGAGAAATATTTATACAAGAGTGAATCCACGAAAAATATAATAGCATCAATATTTCAATTTTTACGTGTTAAAGTTCAAAGAAATGTCCTTAAGCATGTCAGCTTCTGGAGCATTTATCCTGTTTATATCCAACGTAATAATTTATGTAATACATTATAACTAAGAATTTTTTACATTTTATTTAAATATAATATCATTTATTTGTTTATTACTCAAATTAAGTTAAAATTATTATTATTATTTAAATTTGTCCTACTGATTAACCACAAATTCATGTTGATATAATTTGGTATGTTTAATATGATCTGGCAAAGTTCTTTATTTATTAACTAATATGTGTATTGAATGTTGAAGGGTTCTTGAATTAAAGACGGAAGTATTAACACTGAAGAAGAGAAAGTATGATTGTTCGAAATCAGTTAATGATGAAGGACCTTCGTTAAAACAACAAAAGTTAGATAACATTTCATCTGTAAAAGCTACTGTAGATAACATTTCATCTGCAAAATCTACTGTCTCACAGTTCTTTTGTAATCCTGAAATAATTGAGAAGCCTACTAATGTTGAAGAAACTGATGTATCAAAAATGAATTTGGCAATAAAACAATATGCTCCTGATATAAAACTTCATACTATATATTCCCAAAGAATGTACAATAAAATTTATAATATAGGAAATGTGGATTCTAATAAAAAGAACCAGACTGTAGAAACTAAAAATAATGATGTATGCTTGGATAATAATGTTGAAGTAAACCTGAATAATAAATTAGATGATAAAAATATTCCTATCCCGAAGCCGAAGAGTCCAAAACAGAGAGTTGACGATGAACAACTGGTTCAAACCGCTTTTAATTTACAAGAAAAAGAAACAATAATCAAATCTCTTAAAGACAGTAATAATACTTCTTGTGTCGTAAACTCTAAACCACTTTCCAATACTTTTAGAAATGAAAATCTGATCAAAGATGATCAGAAAGAATGTCATGCAAAAATATTCAGTGATGTTGATAAAAACCAGATTGTTTTGGTTTCTGGGTCAAAATGTATCGAACTTAACAAAGAAGTGAGCACCCATTACAGTGGGACATCGCCTAGAAGAGAAAAACCATCATCCAGTGCCAGAGAAAATAAACGTGTTGTTATTTCCAGAATGAATAGGTCATCGAATTTTCCTAAAACAGACAATTTTTCCAAAGATACCTGTACAAAACAATATACTCAAGATTGTAAAATATCTTCTGTAATAAATAATGTATCTAATGTGGAGAAATTGAAAATTTTAGAGAAAACTGATGTGGTTTCAGATAAAAGTGATGGTCACTGCAATGAAATGTTGACTACGAGTACCAAAGAAAAGATAAACAGCCATTTTTCCAGTAGTTATTCTTTGAAGAAGTCCAAGAAATCAATTAAAAGCATGATCTGTCCAATATCAGGCGAATGGGCAAAAAATACTGAAGCAGTCTCCCACGCTGATGTAATCGAAAAGGATGTTAGTGAAAAGGATTCACTTAATAATAAAACCGGAAAGGAGGATTTAGACATCATGGAATGCTTGTTCGGTAGTCCTCTCAAATGGACAGAAAATTCCATTGATGATAGTAAACAAGTGCAAAAACTTAGTCCTCCTGCTACGGCTTTTGAAGATTCCTGCAGTGCTCATATTGAAAATTTAAAATTTAAGGAGACAAGAAATAATGTTACAGAAGTTTCCGAGACTAAAATAACCGAGTTATCATTAACGAAAAAATTCAGCTATACTGAAAGGAAGTGTTATTTTCAACCAACAGAAGTAGACAATGAATTACCCAAATTCAACATAGGTAAGAAGTCTGATATTAGTTTATCAAAGGACATTTTAAAACAGTCAAATATTACACATTGGCCGTTTAAGAAAACAAATAATGAAATACCATCTAAAAACAGATCAGTAACTAGTCCGACTTTTTCAACATTTGTTACTACTGAGTCTACATCAGAAGCATGTGATGTTCCATCTTCCTTAAAAAGTAATCCCAATACTTTGGAAATTGTTAATCCATCAACGAAATTCATACAATTGCCCAAGTATAACGACTCAGTCCTTGGACAGTTTGATGACACGACTCAGCTAATAAATGCTTTAGCTAAGGATCCTTCTAAGCT